TGTAAGGAAAATTTGAGGGAGAGTTCATGTATTTATGGCCAAAACGTTGGGTAATACTGAAGAGTTACAACTCTTCATGTAAGGTTGCAACTCAAAATGATTGTTTTATAAAACGACCATTTAGGCAAATCGCAAATTCAAATTATAACGGGAAAATTAATGTCACGACCCGAAATTCTCACCTTCGGGACAATGATGGCACCTAACATTTCACTTGCTAGGCAAGCCAACGTTAAAATATAATTATCCATTTTAACAAAGTTTTAAATTAATTAATAATAAAGAAACAAATGCGGAAATAAAGTCTGAAATAATGGTGAATAATCCATAATAATTGCGATATCTAAATACCATCCCAGAACTGGAGTCACAAGTGCACGAGCTTCTAGAATAATACAATAAGGGTCTAAATAAAATAAAGTTGTCTAAAAGAAAACACACAACTAAAATAAAGTAGACGGGGACTTCAGAACTGCGAACTATGTGCAGTTATACCTCAAATCTCCTCTGGGTAACTGAAATCCGAGCAAGTCTATAGTACGTCGTTGGGATCAACTCCGAAATCTGTACAAGAAGTGCAGAGTGTAGTATCAGTACAATCGACCCCATGTACTGGTAAGTGCCGAGCCTAACCTCGACGAAGTAGTGACGAGGCTAAGGCAGGCCACTTACATTAACCTGTACACAATAATAATAAAAATAATAATAATAATAATAATAATAATAATAATAATAATAATAATAATAATAATAATAATAATAATAATAATAATAATAATAATAATAATAACGGGAATAGTAGTAAGACCCGTAAATAATATCAATAATTGAAGTCAATTCAGCAGTCACAATTCCTCAACTTGTTTCCATTGCGGCGTGCAACCCGTTCCCCCAATATAAACTTTAAATAAATCTGTTACGGTGTGCAACCCGATCCCCCAATATAGATTTTAAATAAGTCTGTTGCGGCGTGCAACCCGATCCCCCAATATATTTACTTTCATTTCCGTTGCGGCGTGCAACTCACTCCAACAATATAAACTTAAAGATAAATCCATTGCGGCATGCAATCCGCTCCAACAATATAATTAAACAACTCTTAAATGTAAAAAATACTCCAATAAATATCACATTTAATAAAAAATTATTAGGCAACAAAGCATACAATTATTATGATTTATTTAGGAAACAAGTAATGACAAGTAGCAATTAATTGTGGAAATTAAGGATGAAATACGCATTTTAATAATTAGTATACTAAATGTCAAGTAGCAATTAAGTCACATAAATCAAATAAGCATGTAGCAATTATAGCATTGATTCAAGGCATGGTATTGAGCAAGGAATATGAGACAAACAATTAATATAATAATTAATTCATGATTTAAAATGAATTATGATTTTTCAAGTAATTATGCAAATAATTAATTTGACAACGTATAGACACTCGTCACCTTACCTATACATCGTTCACATGCATTTCACATAACAAATAATTTATGGGTTCTATTCCCTCAAGTCAAGGTTAACCACGACACTTACCTCGCTTTGCAACCAAGTTCAAGAATCCAATAAACTTTTGCCTCGCGAATTCATGTCCGAAATCCTCAAATCTAGTCATAAACAATTCAATATACTCAATACAAATCGCAGAAATTAATTTCATATGAATTTACTAATTTTTCGGATTAAAATCCGAAATTCATCTCAAAAATTGACAGTGGGGCCCACGTATCGAATCTCGGAAAAACTTATCCGAACACCCGTTCCGATACGAGTTCAACCATACAAAAATTATTGAATTCCGACATCGGATTGGCTTTCAAATCCTCAATTAAAGTTTTATTTGAAGATTTCTACCATTTTCAATCCAATATTTACTCATTTGAACTCATCAATCTTCCCATAACCTTATTGGTACAAGCATGTATAACTAATACTGTCACATGCAAGAATCACACTCACAATCATCCATCTTTACCCAAACTCGGAATTGAAGAATAGGGGTTAGAACCTTACCTCTTGGGTGAAGATCTTGTGATAATTCCTTGTTGGATTTCAAAGCTTGAACAAGATTTTTGATGAACAAAGCACTTGAGATTATTCCTCTCTATAAAACACTCTAACTTCTCTCTAAAATTATCAGATAATTACCCCAAAATAAGCCTCAAAGCTTATTTATCAAAATGGGGTCGGGTTATGAAAATAGGAAAATTAACCCTCCGAAATCGGGTATGCGGTCGCATTATGGATCGCAGAATGGGTATGCGGGTGGCACAATGGTCACAAAAATCGGTGCCTAGAACTGGGCTATTCTGGTCCATTCTGCAACCAGTTTACGGTCGCAGAAGCAGTTTTGCGATCGCATAACTATTCTGCGATCGCAGAATTGGTCGCAAACTTATATTTTTTCAGCCTTTGGTAATTTGGTCATAACTTCTTGTAGAAGTGTCCAAATGATGAACGGTTTAAAGTGTTAGAAACTAAACTTGAAGAACTTTCATTTGATAGGTAGATCATCACATAATTTCTTATATATAGGTATATATGATCGTTCAAAGTTTGATCTTGTGCGTACCCATTTGAAACTTTAGTCTATTATGAAATTTTCCAACTTGACTTAGACTTAGGCCTCTCCTTAGACCTCACATCGCTTATAATATGCCTCGTACACTTGTTATCATATCCAATTGGTATCCATAATATTAATAGTCCTCAAATGAGAAGTAGAGTCCGCCCCCAAACACATAACATAATTTATCTCTTCTTTCACCCATTTCAATATTTCGAATTTTTACTAACTCCCAAAATTTTCAAAAATTTCGCCAGAGTTTCCTTTGTAACTGGGACTATCCACTGCCAGAGAATCCCAAAAACCAATCCTAACAACACATACATAGTCCAATCAACGTAACACAACATGAAAACAATACTGACAGTGGCATCATAAGCAAAATATTACTAGAAAGGAACGCCATTAATATCAACTATTCAGGTGATACATAACTCATAGTAGGTAAGCTCTCAACATCTTCATAGAACATAGAAATGAACGTTTAAATTAAAGATGATATTTTTGGGTCATCACAATTAAAACGGAGGAAAATTGAATTACCGTCACAGAAACGGTCTAATTTGGATTAATTAATATCGCGTTAATATTAACAAATAAATTTGGTCCAAAAAATTAATCAATCAATCAGATCAACCGAAGCTGAAGCCGAGCAAGTAACGACGACGGCGCGAGGCTTGCCTTTTTCTCAACTCTTTAAGAGCCAGAAGAAGTGCAATTGTATATATATCCATAAAAACTCTTTTCCTCCTCCAATATGGGACAATGTCCCTTTGTAAAAGAAAAAAATTCAAAAAAAATTATTTTACCTTCATTTCTCATTCACTCTATTTTAAGCTCTAAGAAGTTTAAACCCAACATCTTTTACTTCCGTAACATTCAAATTTGCACTAATAGAAAACAAAAGTTATTAAAGGGTAGTTCGGTGTACAAGGTATTCTGCATTAAACGCAGGGTTCGGGAAAGGGTCGCACTCTAAGGGGTATGATGTAAACAGTCTACCCTAATGCAAGCATTAGTATCTGCTTCCACGGCTCGAACCCCCGACCTATTGATCACACTGAGACAATTTTACCGTTGCTCCAAGGTTACCTTCCGTAGGCAGAGGCGGATCTATACTTGGAGAAAAGGGGTTTTACCGGATCATGTTAACTTCGGCAAAAATTCTGAATATATAAATATATACATGTCCGGCGGGACCACTAGCTAAACAGTGTACTCATGTGCCCCGCCACCTTCAATTCCAATTATGGGTCCGCCTTTGCCTGTAAGAATATACTACGTATGTTGTTATTGTCGTGGGAAAAAAAAAGTTATATTATATACACTCTTTAATTATGTAGACGTGTTAAATTTTCCTATAAACCACTTTAAAACATATCAAAGCAACCTGAAGAAGTAAGTAAACCAAAGTCTTAATATTAAAGACAAGAATGCTTATTGTGTATTGTCCATATAAACTATACATTACTTTAACTTCATTTTACAACATACAAAATCATGCATTTAAGTCGGCAATTTTTCTAGCAAGTAAAGGTACTATTCATTGATTAATCTTTAATTATTTCAACTCTTTCCAAAGTTTGATTGCTGCTTCTTCACATTCCTCCACCTTGTTCAAAAGTCAACTCCCAAACTTATTTCATGACAAAGTAAAAAGAATAATAACATTTATATTACGAAGTTAATTAAGTCGAGTAGTTAACCTAAGATCATAGGTAAGTTTTCATATCAAGTATGATACGATAACATGAAAAATAATACTTCATAACTCGCTATAATTAGTTAAATTAAATCATATGTGAAAATTATGTCTCTCAATATATATATCTACAGTCAAATCTCTCTATGAAAGACTCGTTTATTCTGATATTTTTTTATTGCTATAGTGAAGTATTGTTATAGAGGACATATTATAACATAACATAAATATCGATTCCGAAAAAAACTTAGACTTTTATAGTGGATGATTGTTATATAGGGATGTTGTTATACAGAGATCTGACTGTATATACCTTAATGAAATTTGCACTTCTAGTTCTTGAAATATTGACAAATTTTGGTTTGCGAAATCTTGTACCTCGTTATTAAGCACATTTAACCTTCAATTATTTAAAATATACACTTTTGATCTATTTACTTAAGAATTTTCATAAATTTAACGAATTATTACACGTTAAACTATTTAATTACCCGTGTATTATGTTAAATTTTCTCTATCGCTCTAAATTTGAAGGTAATATAGTTCTAAAAGTATCGAAATATAGCATCAAGATTAAAAAAACACATTTTAATTACTTGAAGGTCAAATATGTTAGCCCAACATCATAAGGAATAAAATAATAATTTACCAATAACTTAGGGATTATAAACTCAAGTATAAAACCCTTCAAAGTCTACCCAACTCATTACCAAGCTAACCATTTTCTTCTTCTTCTTCTTTCTCATTCCCTCAACAAGATTAACGAAATCGAGTACCTTAACTTACATTTCACCTTCACGAAAAATGAAGGTGATGATATTCTTGATTCCTCTTGCCATTGCAATGGCATTCACTATTGCTATACTCACCACTCAACGTGTCGAAAAAATCGAAAATACGAAGGAAAAACTCTCAATTCCCTCTCCATTGATCAAGAGGAAAGTGAGTCGTTTTCTTGTTGAACAAAAACCAAGGAATCCAAAAGCAGCTGATCATTGCCACAAGGAACATGAAATTTGTCAAGCTTTTGAAGTAGAGGGAGGAAACGCAACTTGTTGTAACAATAAATGTGTCGATTTAAAGTACGATGATCATAACTGCGGGGCTTGCAAAAAGAAATGTCGTTTTACAGAGACTTGTTGCAGAGGTGAATGCGTGAATTTGTCTTTCGATAAGAGGCATTGTGGATACTGCAACAATAGGTGCATGACTGGTGGATATTGCTTTTATGGCATGTGTGATTACGCCTAAGGTTTGGCAGATTTATATACTTAATAATTTATGTTCATATTATTGTTATTATATAAATAAACAACCACATTTGATTTGGTGGTTGACCCTCAAAAACATTAAACATATTTCTATTTCCTTATTGATTCATCATCCAAAGTTTGATGTAATAATGTTAAGTATTCTACGACAAATTGTATACTGATAACTTGTTTTTGTTAACAATTTTTTGTGTATGTTGAGCAAATTAATTTTGCAATTTTAGAATATGTGTTTGGGCTCTACCTTTTGTGACTTTTTTCTGTTCACAACTTTTAAATTACTACTGCTAAGATGACAAAAAAACTAAAGTTAGAAACATGGCTTGATTACTCTTTTAATTTGTAGTAGTTCGTATCTAGAAATTATGTCTCTTAGAAGTTATAGTGAGTAGAAGCGTATTTAGAATTTGAAATTTATGAGTTTCCATAATAACTTGAATTCACAGTTAAATATTTATATATAAACAAAAATTGATCAAAGCAATCAAATTCACCTAAAATCGTATATTACACGCTAGCTCTACTATAGTAAATCTGAGAAAGTATACACCATAACGTGATAATTAGATTTTAGCTGTACAATTTAGGAATTTCATGATCAAGTTGGTTAATATATGTCATACTCTATAAAGTTTATTAGGGGCCTTTCAATTGGGTACGCAAATATATATATATATNCTTAGGAGATTGGATCATACACCGATAGGAGAGTAACAATTAGTCCCTCTATTCTACTTATGTGAACTAGTTACTATTTAAAGAGTCAAAGAATTTTAAATTATTTTTTTTACCATTATTTTATAGTACTATTATATAATTTATAAATATGTATTTTATTTCAATTTTTTTGAAGATTAAATATTTGAATTCACACAAAACATTAGTTAGTTTGACCATCGTATCCCGACTTAGGTAGCACAAAAGAATATGTATACATAATATTACTCTCATCCAATACTTTGTCAAGTTTCTTATTTTGAATAATTATTTTATATTTAGAATTTACTGTACAACTAACCGAATTCATGTCGCGAAATTATTTTAAAAGTGAAAATGCTCTATACTAAGATTTTCTCCATTCTAAAAATAATTTATAATTCAAATCTGAAAATTCACCTCTAATTATTAAAACCTTTTTAATTTACCAATTTGCGTAATAAAAAATAATCCTAATTCCTTGGATCGTTAACATACATGTGAATACCTAGCAAAATGTTTCTCTTGAAGCAATCAGTAGTCAAAGTCGACTTTAATGGAACTAAAAGGCATAGTACTTATATTTTTATTCTTTTGTACTTTATTTCTCTTCTTTTTTTTTGGGTTTCCCATTTGGTATCCGATACCCTTCGGATTCGCATCGAAAAGTCTCACATTAGGGATAGCAATTCCTAATAAATGTGATTTCATATTCAAGGCTTGAATTCGAGACCTCTGATTTAGGATAAACAACTACTTACCGATCTATCATAACCTTCGTCGGTTATCCTTCTTTTCAAGTGCAAGCTTATCTAATGTCATATGCATGCAAGTGTACTTATGACCTCTTGAACAAGCAAAGGTAGCTATTGATTATTCATTACTCAAAAGACAATTCAAAGTTACGATATAATGTGTCTTTTTGCTTTTATTTTATATTATTTAAGCAATAGTGTTAGCTTAATCAAAGTGTTCACCTCACATGCTATCGAAATATAATTTTATTTAATTTCAGTTGCTTATAGGCTTTGACTCGAGTTTGCCAAAATATGGTAAATTTTTTTTATTTCTCACCCGGTTATTCGGTACTCGTATCGAGACCCGACTAAATTCGGATTCGCACCAACAAGTCCCACATTGGGGGTAAAGCGTTCCCTAACAAAGGGACTTCATATCCAAAGTTCGAACCCTATATCTCTAGTTCAGGATGAATGAGTATTTATCACTCCACCGCAACCTTTATTGGTTCCAAAATATGGTAATGTGATAATTGTTTTCTAGCGTTCTTTGAAAGAGCTCGCGGGTAAAAGAGAGTCTGCGTCTTTATTTTTAAAATCTATTACGCACTTATTATAAAAGAAACTTAAACTATTTGCAGTAAAGCTTTTTTATTTTAATAAACATTGTTTTACAATAATAACATAACCAGTATTATCTCATATTGTGGGGTCTAGAGAGGGTAGTGTGTACGCAGACCTTACCCCTACCTTGTGAGGATAGAGAGATTGTTTCCAATAGACCATCGGCTTAGGAAAGCATAAGCACCACATTAATGAAAATATAGACAAGAAGGATAACACCAAAAGCCATATAAAAGCAGAATAAAGACAACAAGATAGTAAGGTAATCAACAATGAAAGAAAATAACGGTTAGTCATAAAAACCTACTACCAATAGAAAGTGAGATTGCGTGCCAATACTACCGTTATAAACACTCTAGACTACCTACTTTACTACCCTAATCCTCGACCTTCATACCCTCCTATCAAGGGTCATGTCCTCGGTCAGCTTGTGATAACCCAAAATGTCATCTTTAAATTTAATAATTAATTTTATATTCTAAGACCTTAAAAATCACTATTTATCATTCCTCGACTTGCGTGCGCAGTCCGTAAAATTTTTCGGAAAGTTTTCAGGTAAAAAATGGATTAAAATGTGAATTAGAGCTTTAAAACTCAACTAAGTTGACTTTGGTCAATATTTTGAGCAAACCGACTCAGATCAGTAATTTGACAGTTCTGGTAGATCCGTATCATGATTTGGGACTTAGGCATATGTCCGGAATCAAATTCCGAGGTCCCTAGCCCGAGATATGAAATTTTAATAAAAAATTAAAAGTTTAAGTTTAAATAGTGACCGGATATCAAATTATGTGCAAACGACCCCAGAATAGAATTTTGATGATTCCAACAGTTCCGTATGGTGATTTTGTACTTAGGAGCGTGATCAAAATTTTATTTGGAAGTTCGTAGTGGAATTAGGCTTGAAATGCCAAAAGTTAAATTTTTAGGAAGTATGACCGGGGGTAGACTTTTTAATATCGTGGTCGGAATCCGATTCTGGAAATTGAAATAGGTCTGTTATATCATTTATGACTTGTGTGCAAAATTTGAAGTCATTCCGAATTGATTTGATGTGTTTCGGCACAAGATATAGAATTTGAAAGTTCAAAGTTCATAGATTTTGATTTGAGGTGCGATTCGTTGTTTTGATGTGGTTTGAAGCATCGACTAAGCTCGTATTGTATTTTGGGATATGTTGGAATAATTGGTTAAGGTCTCGAGGGTCTCGGATGGATTTCGGAAGGTAAACGGAATGAATTTCGGACAAAGAGGGTTGCTGGAAATTTTTGTTGCAGAAATTGTTCGTGGAGCCAACTATGGAAGCTTATATCTCTCAATTCATAAGGAATCGGAAAAGTTTCAAAACATGAAAGTTGTAGTCGTTTGATACTAGTTTCCAGAAAGTTAAACCATTCATTATTTGGACATTTGTACAGAAAGTTATGATGGATTGAATGAAAACTAGTAGAGTAGTTTCGCCAGAAATTTCTAAAGCATGGAGCCGACTTTGGAAGCTTATATCTCGTAATTCATAAGGAATCGGAATATTTTCAAAACATGAAAGTTGTTGTCGTTTGATTCTAGTTTTCAGAAAGTTAAATTATTCATCATTTGTACATAAAGTTATGATCGATTGAAAGAAGGCTGGTACAAGCAAGTTCTAGTGGACTTTTAGTGACGGATGGGCAGAAACTTAAGGACCAAAAATGGTCATTTCCTTCATTTCGTTTTGGATTTTTGGAGCACGGTTCTTGGGCGATTTTTGGGTGATTTTCACGGAAAAATATTGGGGTAAGTGTTCCTTATCCTATATTGATTATATTTCATGATTCCATACTCATTTACATCATGAATCCGTGAATTTATGGAAGAAAAATCAAGATTTTTACAAAATCTTCCAAAAACGAAATTTTAAAATTTGGAGGTCGAGTTGTTATCGGAATTTGGTAAAATTGGTATGGGTGGACTCGTAATTGAATGAGTTATCAGATTTTGTAAGTTTCGCCGGATTCCGAGATGTGGGCCCCACGGGCAAATTTTGAGCTAATTTTGGATTTTATTGAAAAATGTAATATTTTCTTATGAAATTGATTATTATAATTTTTGTTGACTGTATCGAATTAATTATGACTAGATATGAGTCGATCGGAGTCGAAAAATCGAGGAAAAGGCATAATACTTGGTTAAATTGGAGCAAATCGAGATAAGTGACTTGTCTAACCTTGTGTGGGGGAAAATTTTCCCTAGGATTGTTAATTATAATGTGTGAAAAGTCGTGTGCACAAGGTGACGAGTGTGTACACGGGCTAAATATGAAAGATTATGTTTTAAATTGTGTAGATCACTGTTGCGCATTAATTAAATTATTTTATTTTGTTATATTCTTCATTATTGATTTAATGTTTATATTTTAAATTTGCTTGACCTTTTCCTGCTAATTGTTTTATCTGTTTGGTTGGAACTTGGTTTCTTTTATTCCGTGCATTATTTGAAGGTTGATTTTCTTTAAATTAAATATTATTAATATGAAGTATTTGACATTTTTAAACTTGATATTGAAGCAATATATTAATGATTTTAAAATATTATTTTCCTGAATTATTTATTCCTGAATATTTTTGTAAGACTTTCTGCGGTTCATCCGGTATTCCATGTTTCCATGCTTCGAAAATATCACGGCGATCCGTCTCATGTGTTAGACTTCCGTTCGGTTCAGTTGGACAAGGATCTATCTTATGTTGAGGAACCAGTGGCTATTTTGGATAGGCAAGTTCGAAAGCTGAGGTCAAAAAACATTACTTCCGTGAAGGTTCAGTGGAGGGGCCATCCGATCGAAGAGGCGACTTGGGATACCGATCATAATATGCGCAACTGTTATCCATACTTATTCACCAGCTCAGGTACTTTTTCTAACTTCGTTCGAGGACGAACATTTGTTTTAAAGGAGGAGAATGTGATGACCCAAAATGTCATCTTTAAATTTAATAATTAAATTTGTGTTCTATCGAAAAGCACTATTTATCATTTCTCGACTTGCATGCGCAATCCGTAAAATTTTTCGGAAAGTTTTCATGTAAAAATGGATTAAAATGTGAATTAGAGCTTTAAAACACAACTAAGTTGACTTT